TTCAGTCTTGATAGAAGATATACAGTAGTGCATATCTTAGCAGTTTCTATCTCATTCTTCTGCAGCAGTTAATGCAAAAAAAAGATTTTAGAAATAGTTTTTTACTTCTCTTGAAAAAGTAAGATGTTTTTCTCTGGATTTTACATAATATTCTTACAAAGAATTAAAAACAGAGTTATTTTCTGTCATAATTTCATATTCTTTTAAGTAAGAATTACTTTATTCAGTGACTGAAGAGCTTTTATTAATACTTAATTCTTTTTTACACTCTTTATTAACTGATTTGAGTTGTACACTTGTTGTGTGAGAAGAATTGAATAATTTAGAATAAAATTGAATAGTTTTAATCAATTTCTCTGCAAAAAATTGATTTATTTTTTGTCAGTTTTTCTCTCAAAAACTGTCATATTATCTGATTTACTATCAATTGATATCATACTTTTCCTCACTGTATCTCAAGAAAGAGATTGTAAAGATTTTATTAATTTATCTTAAAAATCAATTTTAGTTTATTAGATTCTCTTCAAAAATCTAATCTAGTTACTGAACTAGTGTGAAAAAAATCAGGTGTTTTATACACAAAAGTCTGTTATTCTTCTTTTGAAATAGTCTGATCAACTTTTCAATTGAAAACAGACTTAGAAACCTCTTAATTGAAATAGTCTGACCAACTTTTCAATTCAAAAGAGTTTAATAAATATCTCAATTAAATTAGTCTGATCAACTTTTCATTGAGTAAGAACAATGAGTTCAAAAGTACACTCAGTTGATGTGAAAAAAGATGCTTTCTCAAATGCTATTCCTGAGATTGAAATTCTGAAGAGAAGAAAGAAAGAAGAAATAGAGAAACAACAAGTTCTTGAAATACAGGAACTTGAAAAAGCAAGTAAAATTCTTGAAAAGCAGTGTCTGAGTGAGATGAATGAAGAAGTTCTATTAATTCTTCATGCTCAGGCTAGACAACTACAGAAAGTGATCAAGTTCAAACTTAGAATTTCAAACACAGTTTAAAAAACTTTGAAAATTTCTAATACAATCACTGACTCTTCAGTTTACTCTTCTTTCTTTTCTACTTCTTCTTCTTCTTCTTCTTTAAATCAGAAGAAAACATAGGCTCAAGCAGCTGAATCTGCTGCCTCTAAACCTGCTGTCTCTAAATCTACTATCTCAAAACCTGCTCAAAATTCTGAGAAAACTGAGAAGAATACTGCTCATACTTCTAGTGATAGAAGAGTGAAGAAAAAAATGCAAAAAGAGAAAAATCTTCAAATCTTCAGAAATAGAAGACTTATTCTCAAAGTCTCTAATCAGAATATATTACAGAGAAATAAGCTAAACTCAAACCTCATTTTCAGAATTAGAAATGAAATCAATCAGCAGTTCTTTTCTCAGTTAATGACTGATATTGAAGTTCAAAAACCAGTTATAGCTTCAATTGAGTCATTCTTCTTTGAAAACTCTATCATTCTGATCACAATGTCTGAATTCAGTGCAGAATTTCTTATTCAGAATGAGAATCTCTGAAAATCAGCAGTAGAATCTTTATTAAATACAACAATTCTATCTAAGAGAGATGAAAAGTGAAGCAAATTCATTCTTCATGATATTTCAGTTGAAATTTTTGACTGTGAAGAAGAAATGCTACTTCTCAAAAATGAATTAGAAGAATACAACTCTATTCAACTGAGAAAAGAGCCTGTATGACTAAATTCAATTGAGTTTAGACAAAGCAGAAGAAATGTCTCTGTTCTAGTATATACAAAGACAATTGAACAGTCAAAGATCTCTGAAGTAAGAGTAGCAGGTTTGAAAATGAGAGTTCATGAATACAAAGACTCAAGAATGAATCTCAAAGCTCAAACACAGTGTTCAAACTGTCAAAGATATGAACACTTTGCAATCTCCTGTTTCAGAGACTCAAAATATGTATTCTGTGTCAGAGATTACAAAACTAGTGAGTATAAATGTGAAATATACTCAAAAAGAGATGAAATATGTTAATATACTCTGCTTAAATGCTCTAATTGCAAAGAAAAACATGCATCTAGCTCAAAAGAATGTATATTTGCTTCAAGAAGTCAAAAGAACTGGAGAAAAGATGAAGCTCAGAGTAAATCTAGAACTGAAGAGAATAGTCAAGCCAGTAAACTCACAACTGCAAGCTTAAAAAGAAGAAACTCTCAACTATCTAAGTCTTCAAACTTCAATTCTCCAGCTAAATGTAAACACAATTTGAATCCTCAAACTTCTGTTAAGATTAGAGAATTGAGAAATGACTCTGATGATAAACTAGATATAATGCAAGCAGTTGAGATTTCTACTTTTCAGAACAGTTATAATCTACTATCTGATGATAGTGATTAGATTCTACTCTACTCTCTTTTAATATGAATATACAACAAAAACAACAAAAAAAGTTTAAAAACTCTTCAAAAATCACATTTATTCAAAATAATATGAATAGAAACTCAAATTGTATTTATTCTTGTCTTCAAATTGCATTTGAATAAAAAGTTGATTTTATACTGCTTCAGAAGCCGAATTTTGATACTGAGTAAAAATATGTCATTTCTCATTCAAGCTACTACTGCTTTTTACCTCAAAAGTCTGAGATAAAGTCAAGAGTAGTGATCTATGAAAGAAAGAGATCAAGATATCAATTTAATCTAAGATTTGATATCATGTCTGACCCTGATATTCTGGTGAGTGACATTATAGATAAAGAAGATGAGTTTGATACTATACAGCTCATAAATATCTATAATGAAAAGTCATTAAAGAAATATAACAATATCTGAACAATTGATAGAGAATTTCTGAACATTACTTTATCAAGAAACTCTATAATTACAGAAGACTTCAATGCACATCATCTCTGATGAAATTCAGAATGCAAGAGAGCAGTGAGAGCTGATAATCTGATTGAATGAATCTTTGAGCATTCAATACATTTGGTTAATAAGTCTGATCAACAAACATTCTTTAGAAAAGATATGAAACAGAAGTCTATTATAGATCTAATCTTCATGTCACAAAATCTAATGATAAGAAGACTTGTAAACTGGTTTATTGATTTAAATGAGACATTAGAATCAGGTCATGAGATTATTCAATTTGATATTGAACTGAGTGAAAAACAAATGAGTGAAAATCCTCTTCTCTCTAATCAGTATAACTTTGAAAAAGCTGATTAGAAAGCAGTTGAAGAAAGCATAAAACTGTTAAAATCTGAAAGACAGAATGAGCTATATTGAAATTCTGGTCAAGATATCTCAAATGAAATACTTGAGAATAGAGTGAAGCTTATTACATCTATTATTCTAACAAGTGTTAGAGATAATATTTCAAAGAGAAAATCTTCTGAGTATTCAAAATCTTGATGAAATGAGAATATCTCATCTAAAAGAAAAGAATTAGCTACTGCTAGAAGAGATTGAAAGAATGATGTAATATCTGATGAAGAGTTCAAAGCTGTCAGAAATGAATATTTTTCAGATATTAAAAGAGCTAAAACAGACTGCTGAAATAAATTTCTTGAAGAAGCATAAGAGAAGAAAGTTTTTAAAGCTTTTAACTATACTAAAACAAGAAGTGTAGCAAAACTTCCAGTCTTAGAATATGAGTTTCAGAATGAATCATATACAGCAAACTCTTTTGAGGAAAAATGTCAAGCTTTCATAAGAATTCTCTTTCAGAACTCACCAGATTCAGATTCAGATTCAGAGGAAGAGAATATATCACTTCTCAACTACATTGATGAAAATGACTGGGAATGGTCTGATCTTACATAAGATGAATTAGAGTCAGCTATCTTCTCAAGTTCTGTTAAAACTGCTACAGGTCCTGATTCAATTAATCACTTGATTATTTAAAATACATATTCCTACTTAAAGAATGAATATTTTGAGCTCTTTTTTAATCTCTTGAAAAATGAATATCATTCTGAATGCTGGAGAGAAGCCACTGAAGTGATTCTTGCAAAACCTAATAGAAAAACTTCAATTCCTAAGTTATATAGAGTAATATCTCTATTGAACTGCCTAGAAAAGGTTTTAGAAAAGATAATAGCTACTCAACTATCTTTTATAAGCTCTATAGATGATTCTCTTTTATTCAGTGATCAAATGAGAGATAGAAAACAGTGTTCTGCAATTGACACTGTTCTCTCAGTTATTTATGATATTCAAATAGCAAAGCATGAGAGTCTAGTCTCAACTGCAGTTTTTATTGATATAAAAGAAGCATTTGATCATGTTTTAAAGTCAAAGTTAATTCAGACATTGAAGATATTAAAACTGTCACTTTCTCTAATAAAATGAGTTAACTGTTTTATGTCTAAAAGAAGTATACAACTCTTCTTTGATGAAATGAAATAAGACAAGACTGAGATAAAAATAGAAGTATCACAGAGATCTTCAATCTCACTCATTTTATTTACAATATACACTGCATATCTATTCAAAAATAGAAATATGAGAATAGTGTGATCTCTGAGTTATGTGGATGATATTGGTCTAGTCTACAGCTCAAAAACTATCAAAGAGAATTTGAAAGTAATTGAAGAAGCTGCAAAGAAAATCTTTGTTAGAGCAGATATCAATCAAATTCAATTTGATATGAATAAAACTGAGTTAATTCATTTCTTTTCTAGATTCAATGAGAAAGAACTATCTCTAACTCTTTTAAATAGAGAGATTAAACCCAGTGTAAATGTCAAATAGTTAGGAGTATGATTAAACTCCAAGTTGAATTTTAAATATCACATTCAACAAAGAACTGTCAAGGCAGAAAGACTATTGAACAACATAATCAGACTATCAAATACAGAGAGAGGTCTATTCTTCCAGGCTATGAGACAGTTATATATAGCCTGTATTACATCAGTAGCTGATTATGAAGTTCAAGTTTAGTGAAATAATCAAGGGAATTTCACTGAACTCTTTCAAAGTCTGTAAAACAGAGCCTTGAGAAGAATTCTGAGAGCATTCAAATCATCTTCTATTAAAGCAATGAAAATTGAAGCTTCAATTCCTCCTCCTGCTATTAGATTTGAAAAGGCCTGTATGAACTATGCTCTGAGAGTTGTAAAGATGAGCTCAAATCATATAATCAGAAAAAGAGTCTCTTCTTCATTTTCATTAATTAACTCTGGAAATGAACTGAATTGGAATAGATTTCTTGATTGAAATGAAAATAATTCTTCAAAGAAAATATCTTCTCAACTGTACAGACTATGCTCTCTGATTAAAAATTAATTTTCTTCTTTAAATATTGAAAAAGTTGATCATGAGAAGTTATCTCTCTGAAGAGAAAAGCTTGAATCTCTTATAGACTTACAAATAAGTCAACTATCAAAAGAGAAAGAATATGAACAGCATTTAAAGAGAATTTCTACAATCAATATAAAAGACTCTATTCTGATTTATTCAGATGACTCAAAAAATGAGAACTTGAATAGATTAGGTGCAGGCATTGCTTATACTGAAGATAATATCAATTTTATCTCAGATTTCTGAAATCTAGGCTCTGAATGTGAAGTCTTTGATGCTGAACTATTTGCAATAGTGAAAGCTTTCAAGCTCATTGAAATAAAATCTCATAAAAGAGGAAATTGTTTGAAAGAGACATGAATATTCTCTGATAGTCAAGCTGCTTTAAAAAGACTTAGAAATAGTCAGATTCATAATGATCAAATGAATCTTGAACTGATCTTAAACTCTGTTTTGAAAATTCAAAAGAGAAGAATATCAAAGCTAATAATTCATCTGCACTGGGTTCCTGCTCATATGAATATTCATGACAATGAATTGGCTGATTCAGCTGTAAAAAAGGGTGCAGAATTAAGCACATCTATTTAAAAAATTATGTCCTGGTCTTTTATAAAGAGAAAAATAAAAGAATCTTGTTTAGACAAGTGAAATGAAAGCTGGCAGAAACAAAAGAAGAGTATACATTATTCAAGATTTGAAACAAAACCCAAGTGGAAATCTTGTTCAATTAAATGTAAAAAGAAAATATTCTCATCTATAATACAGCTGAAACTAGGATATGGCTATTTCAAATCTTATATACAAAGATTTGATGATAGATTTGACTCAATAGAATGCTCATTCTGCAATATAAATGAGAATCCTGAGCATATTGTAATGCACTGTGCATTATACAATAGTCTCAGAGCCAGATTGAAAGAGAAGTATGATCTAAATCAATTAAATATGAGATTCTTATTCTCAACTGAGACAGGAATTAAATACTTAATAGACTTTCTATCAGAAACTCAAGCAGCTATAAGAAAATGGCTAAATTCAGAATTATCTGAATATGAAGAGGAGGAAATCAACCAGATATAGTCTGTTAAAACAGCTATATACTATCTTTTAATAATTTGTTTTGTTACAGTTTTTCTTTAT